CAGGCAGTTGCTGTCCATTCTACAAAGTTTCAAGCAGACATTTCAATTTATTAATTTCTTGATGTTGTTCCATTATAAAATATAGTTTTTAGGCATGAAAATAATGGTAATAATGGGAGGCAGAAGGAATTACCCACATAGTGAAGCCTTATAAGTTGCACCATACTTTTACACAATTTGTAAATGGAAGAAAGTCCCTGGGAGAAGACAGTGGAAATTTTGAAGAAGGCTAACAGTCAAAGGTGAGGTCAGCTGCCCTGATCTGAGTCAGCTCAACTGTGTAGGACTTGTGTAGCCTCAACTCTGATTCCCTCCTACTGGATCTAGGTGCCAAGAAAGTTGGGGGATTGGAAAGTTCAGATTCCGTGGACACACATTTTACAGGTGAGGATGGGCACGAGTACGTGTTAAACCTGTTGGTATGTCATTCGACCAGTACTTCCTTCAAGGTTGTAATAACGACATTATGACCCCCCTTAATCTTACACACTTTGCTAAATATTTTAACTTTGACTCTGGGCTATTTAAAATCAAGTTTTGGCACTTGTTAGTCTCTCTTCAGATTAACCACATTCCAGATCATAACTAGGCAAACCTGATCTTTTGTACTCAACATCACATCAAGTCATCTATGTATGAAACTACTAAGCTTCTTGGAGAGGCCCTTTTACTCAGGTGAAAAGATTGCAGGAGTTCCTTGGGCTAACACTGTGTAGCCCAACCTGTCATGCACCTTGCACTAGTCCATGTATGAAGATGCATGGTTGGCTGACACATTGGACATGGGAACACTTATCACATCAGTGGTTGGATTTGCCCTGCAGTTTCCAACAAAGGCAAGCTCGCTGTTGACTGCGGAGGATTGACAGACCATGAGAACAACATAGCCTGTGGTGGAACCATCAGCAGCATCTAGAACAATGACCACGTAGAGGAGGTGACCACCAGCCTTCATCAATGCCACTGACTGCAGCTGAGGAGCAAGTGGGTGTGTCGCAACTACATCATGTTGCTGCCAAATGTGTTCACACCTCTGAAAGTAGTACCACATCTGTAAACCTAAGAAAACATTTCCATAGCGTGATGCATCTGGAAGGGTGCCCAAACCTAGCAAGATCCACAGTCACAGGCAAGCTAGATCGCCACCATGGACACCAGATACCTTAAATGGATAGATGCTGCAGTAATTGGTGAGAGGCCACTGATTAAGAGACAGCAGGAATCTTCCCTACAAGGTTGAGGGGAACTGTGAAAAACCATTACATATGATCATGCACCAATTTCAGAACAGTTCCAGGTGTGGAAACAGCACTGCCAGGAAATGGCTACAGAATGTACCAAAGCATGGGCCTATACACTAGGGAAGACGACTTACTGGGGCAGAGGGCAACTTCTCTACATCCTTCTAATTTTAATCTATCCAGATCATTTTTCATTTTTGTATGTTTTTACTTCACTTATTTTGCAGAAAGAATTTGATTTGGTTAATTTTTGTTGTATGTTAAAACTCAAAAATTTTAAAAACAAGAATTATTTTATATACAATTCTATACAAATAAGATTTTTTCCAGTCTCCAAACTACTAAAATACATTAACTTACTGTACAGGATAAAAAGTGGTAAAAATCCCCGATGAAACTGGAAAACAATCCCATACACTCTACATGTTTTGACGTATACTACTCAGGAGTGTCAAAAAAAATGGGAAAAACATTTTGTTGTGTTTAACATTAATTTTTGTTTTATGATGTATTTTAAATTTAGTTTATCACTTTTGTATGTATTTTGAGCTGATTCATAATTGTTGTTAAAGATTTTAAGTTTTATTATATTTGCTATTCTGTTAGTCAGTCCACTCTTAAAGTAGGCAGTGAATTTGTTTTTTCCTTCTCTTTATTTTTTTTTTCTATTGATGCATGCACATACCCACAATCTTTTTATTTTGTAACTTTGTTGTTCTGAGTAATTTTGAGGATTTTATGAATTCATTTTCACCATTATTTTCTTGTGCTTTGAATATTTGGTTATTTTGTCATCTGACCTTGTTTCTTTATTTGTGATGTGGTTGAATATATAAAATGTGTATAAAGAACACAAGTAATTAATTTAATACAAATAAAAAAGAAAATGGTGTTTTGTGTAATTTTTTTTAGTGTGATTTGATGTTAACATTTTTGAAAAGTGTTGTAATTGTACATTTCTGAATTAAAGGGGTTAGTGCAGTTTTAGTCTCATGTTAGTGTTTTAAGCATGAGGTAAAGTTAATACAGTTTTGGATCATGTTGCAAGTTTAAAGTTAATTTTAATTATCAGTCTGAGGACAGGTATAAGAGAGAGATGGTTGGAATGTGGTATGCAGGCAAACTATGACTTCTACCATCCTTAGTGACCTAATGTTTTTTTAATTATTGATTATTTAGTTTCTGCACTGTCATGGTGGCAACATGTGGTCAAAAATGTCTAATATTATCTTGTTCTAACCACCTCACCCCTTTGTTCTTTTACTAGATGATGTCTTCTGCCTGCAAGAATATTCCATTTTATTTTGAGCTAGTGTTAAAACTACTTAGAATTGAAATATCTTTTCCTGGCTAAAGTATGTCATCAACAGAATCTGATAAATGACCAATACTGTCAGGAAGCAGAAGTCACAAGATGATGCTGTCTGCTGGATGAAGAAAAGAAGTTGATGTTTGAAATCTTTCTTTGTATCAGTTTCCTCTCAGTCTTTGCAGAAAGAAGTTCTTTCAGCATTTAGTGCTGAGGTAATACATTTTGCAAGAAGAGAAACTTCACAATCAATGGTCACATAACTTAGAGTGAGGACTGTCTGTTGTCACATGTGGCTATGCACTCAGTTTTCATTGCTTTTGTGATGTAATGAATAAAGATTTTGTTCATTTTACTTAGTGTCCAGACTCTCATTTCCACACTAACCCTAAAAGTTCAGTTGAATACTTTCACTTAGAATGTTCACTTAAATCACTGGGCCAAACTTAGTTATTTGCACATATTTCTATAAAAAAACTTGTCAAAAATCATTTTGATCTGAAAATACCACTTCATTAGTAAAAACTGTTTATAGAGTAATTGCTTTTTTCTGAGCTTTCATGGTTAAATTCTAAATGTAGTTATTGAGCAAAATCAAAGTACACTTTCAAGAATAATTATGTAATTTAATGAACAATAAGATTATGATAGAAACATGGACATGTAGTTATGTGTCATAGTACTAACAATTACTTGTGTTTTTCAGGCTTAATGTAGTTCCATAACTTGTTTCACTGCCAATACAGAAATACAAGGCAACTTACAGTTGTTAAAGATAACTACATGAAAAATACAAAATGAAATTTATCATTAAATAAAAAGAGACTTCTAAATTTTTAACTGCTTTTGTTAAACCTAAGGGTTAGCCTTTGGCATATATAACCCTAAATACTCTGTACTGAAATATTTTAAGGACTAATAAGCAACTGCCATGCATCACATTAGCATGTTTGCTTACAGAAGATTAACCCTTTAAACATAGTAAAGTATTTAAAATTCTTTAAGAGTTTGTAAACTCCAGTTTAATGTCACTTCAGTATGTTAATTGGGGACTAGCATCGAAAGAAGCTGCACAAATAGCAAGATGGTTCACTGGTTTTTGAAACATGGCTGTGTCATAGCAAGTGCTTATAACTAAATCCACAGTAACTTGTCTGAAATGCATAACATTTGTTAAACAGACTCTGAATTATTAACATATACTTTACTTGAACTAAAATTACTGTAGCTGAAATTGATATAAAACCCCTAGATTTATGCACTTAAAAAGAAAATTCTGTGTTTTGAAAACAATTACAAAAGAAATTATATTTTTAACAAACATGCATACCCTAAACAAAATATATTTCATTAAAATTTAGGAATTTTTTCTCCATATTTTAGATTCAAGTCACTGTGAACAATTCAACAAAACATTTACAGCAGAAAATTCATTGACAGAGATATAACCTTCTTAAGAGTTTCCAGAAATTAGTGGACAAGAAGACCTATTTTATAGAATTGAATATAAATAGTCTACTGACATAAGTATTTACTTTGAATGAAAGTGCTATACTGTTTCACATTAATTATTTGAAAATTCCTGATTTGGTTTGGCAATTCATTAAATTCTCATTAGTAAATTTCTTTTCAGATATTATATATATATATACCATTTCAGCATTTAATAAAAAAAGCTTTCTCTTAAATACTTTGTGTTTAGCCAGGAACTAAAACAGTGTTGTGTCAATTTTATTTAAACTATTATTCTGTATAGTAGCATTTCAGTGGTTGCTTTCAAGTGTAACTTGGAATTTATTTTTCTGGCAAAATTGCAAAATCAGAATTGCAGTTATGAAATATGACTTTTTTTATTTCTTGTGGTATATTACAATAGATGAGAATAAATATTTATGATATTTATAAATCTTCTTACCTCACCATTTAACAACCTAAACTACTTTACATATATGAATATTATAACATTCTGCAAAATTATTATTTGGTGTTATACAGTGAACTAACAGTCTAATGATGATATTAAAAATTTATTTTCACCAAAAGTAAAAATTAAAAATACAATCTCTAACACAGAGGCTTAATATGTTCTTTGATTTGCTGCACCCTTTGCTGTGGACTGCAGTTTCACCAATATAATCAAAGTTCATAAGCACAGTTTAGGTCAGCAAACCAAACAACTACAATAAAGTCTGTAATAGTGGTTCATTTGGTTCACTGTATAATAATGAATGTCATATTATTATTCACATATCTAAAATAGTTTAAGTTACTAAGTGGTGGTTAAAAAATAGCTTTAAAATATTATAAATATTACGTACACACCACCATTATAAGAGGCTTTATTGTATTACTTTGGTTTGCTGACTTAAGGTGTGTTGAAGAGCCTTTATTAGACAAAATTCCAATGCTCATCAGAGGATGTGGCAAATCTATAAATATATTATGCCTCTACATCACAGATTATAATAATTAAGGGTATTTTTGAAAATTATCTTATCTATAAAAAGTAGTTATCTAGCAATGTAGTTAGTCTACCTTTGGTTAATTGTGCTTGATCATGACTGTCTGATTATTAAAAATAATTAATTTATCCTTCCTACACAAGGTAAAATACAAGAAATTCTACATTTCCAAAAATGTCTTCAGTTAGTAGTTTGGACACACTAAACTATCTTGTCATGGTGTTTTAAACTTATATCATGTTCTCGGTACCTCTACTTGGGTAGGCCAGTCACATTATTATCACAGAGTACAATGTGTACTCTTTAGTTTTACATGAAACAACACACTTTATTTTTGCTAACACTAATATTACCCCTATTACACTAATATGAGTGTAAGTTGCAGCCACACTGTGTCAACTGGTCAAGTTCCCATCCCTCTTAACCTTGATCATGCTCTAAATGTATTGAAGAGAAAGAGGTACAGCAAGTTAAGACCTTAAAATAGTGTCACATGTCAAGAAGTAAGGAAGACAGTGACACCTCTACCAGAATGAAGGTATGCTGCTGCACTATATTCCACTTCTACAGTGGAAATACGAACAGCTATCTCAGTTCTATCTTGTCTTTCTATGATCATTGAAAGGTTATCTTGCCCTACACAGACAAGCACGTAGGTAAGTCAACATTTACTCCATCATTATACCTACTGGTAATACTAATGAGTGATCAGAACTAGTTCCATTGGCCGTGATCTGCTAGACTGTTATTTTTTGCTGCCCACACTCACTTGAATCTTATCCATCTGATGGAGAGCTGTTCCTTCAATCTAGGGCAGGGTCATTGGAGGTCGAGTGACTTCCTCAGGCATAATCTAGAGTTCAGAATTGGAAGGGTTGGTTCTCTGTAAATGTTGATAGTTCTATATTTAAAACTGTAAAAAACAACAGATTAAACTCATATAATATCTTAATAAGAAAGAATTAAAAATACTTGGAACTCAAAATTTCAATAATTTTCTTAATTCTTCTCTAAGCTTTTTAAAAGGAAGGTAAATTTCATGTTTTTACAGACAGAAAAATTTAATTTTAAATACATATACATGTTTCATAATAAAAGCTGACATTTCTACAATTAACTCAACAGAAAGCTAAAAAACATATAAACTCCTAAGTTCATTAATGTTTAATCTTCTTTTGTTTTAAATATTTCTTGCTTATTTTAATCTAAATAGTTCATCTAAAACCAAACACTAGAGGAGCTTCAATTATACCCTTGGATATCAGATGTGAAAATATAATATGCAGCCATAAACTGTATAACTGCCAAATGAAAAGCTATTTGATAAACATTTATTGTTACATGTCTCTAACCACAAGTAATCCTGTTAATTCTACTAATAAGTGAGGTGGGAATCCACTTCCTGTATGAAGGGCTTCACATAACTTTTCATTGGGGATAATCAACAAATACAATAAGAGGACATCAATTAATGTAAACCAATTTATGAGATGTATATACATAATGGTCTTCATTTCACAGGCCATAGCTGACATATATATGCACATGCTAATAAAATTAAGTATAATGTTTGTATGCAAAACTTCAATATCATATCTGTCATATTCAATAATTTAAACATGTAAGCTTTTATACATATTGATGTTTCACTAACATTTTTTTTTCTTACCTTCTTGATTAGAATTATACATATTTCAGTCCATTGTCTAGCAGTATCCCTATTGAGCTAACTAAGCTAGGAAACATATAAGTATAATAATCAATAATATTAAGAAAACTTTTATAATATCAAATCATGTTATGAATTATGTTATTATTCAAATAAATATACAAATAACATTGCTCAAACACCTTTAACAGAGGTTACCTAGTTTGTGGTTCACATTCTTTCTGAAAGTCACAAGTAATTAAAATAATACTTTCATACTGAATTCATAAACATAGTTCAATGGTCATATAGTTATGGTATACTATGGAAATGCTCATAAAAGTGTAATTAATCTCAGCAATAATTTATATAACTTTATCCTTTATTGTACCTAAGATTTTTGTTACTGTGACTGTTAATTTCTTAACTTTTGTGTTAATTTCTTCCATTTTAAATTCATCCATTAATTCTATGAATTCACTAAGTGAAGGACGTGCATGAGTAATAATGAATGTGTGTAATTCTAGTTTGAATTACCATATTAAAACAAAAACATGAAAGATGAAACCTGCACACGAACAACACATGGCCTATGCAGTATAAATGTATGTGTCATCAGTAATCACATTAATTTACACTTGCCAAAACATCATCTTCAAAGCATGCTTGATAAAACAGTGAGTTTGATACCACATACAAGATGTTCATGAAGTAGATGCTCATGGTGTAGGTGAGTGGGCTGCAAAAACTTTGATATATTGCTAATTTCTTTGAATAATCTAACAGCAAGAGGCTGAACCTTGTTTTGGCACATGTGTAATAATTCGTCATGGCATTCAAATAATTTGAGGGTGCTGATTATAAATCCAGAGGGTGCCACCTTGACATCCTTGAGAATTTTGAAATATTTAAGATGGCTACCAAACCTGAAAAATTATGGTATCTCAGCCTCTTAAAAATGACAGAGTAGCAATTTTGATATCTAGACATAGAATTATGGGGATCTAAGAGCTCAAGTTTGACATTAAAAAGTTCAATACTGCTCATAATGTAATTAAAAGTGGTATTTTAACTATTAAAAGCAAGTCTTGAACCTATATGTTTCACATTAACTGTATTGCCTGAATCTGACTGAGTGACACAATATAAACATGTATGTTCATTCAAAATAATATGCATAACAATATACAGTGATAAACTATACTCATGAGTGCTTTACAAAAAAAAAGTATACATATTCACGCATATTGTTATTCTAGATAAAACCAGTTAATATTCATAACAAAATTCTTCAAATTATACTGTTTAAACCAATAATTACCTTAATACTATACTATAATATCAAGGAAACTATCAATAGAACAAACATTTTCCACATCATAAGAAAAATCATGCCAATCCCCTACACAATAAAAGAAAAGTTAGTAATGGATGTCTGATAGAGGGAGGATACAAGAACAAGTGACGAGGAGGCTGGTTTTGTTATGATACAATAATGGTAAGCATTGGCAGTGAAGCGGCTGGTTGTATTGCAGTCATATTAGTTTGAATTAACATGTTTGTCTACTGTGGCTTAGTCAGAATTAGGCAAAGACATCCATATAACTCTTCATCCTACAGTTAATGTGGACATGTAGGATTAAGACATTCTCAAAAACCTTACTAGTCAAAATACCATTTTTAATTATATTATAAATAATGTTGCACTTTTAATGTCAAGCTTGAGTTCTTAGACCCCCCATTAACCTACATCTACAGGTCAAAATTGCTTCTCTATCAATTAATTTTTCAGAAAATGTGACGTATTTTAATTATAAAGAACAACACAAACGTAATTATATGAAGCACTTAATAGATGTTTCAGCATCTTTAGAATTTCATCTTCAGTAAGCTAATGATACAAAAATATGCAATATTAATTACACCAAGAATGTGATATATGCTAAAACAAATAACATTAAACAATTTGAAAACACAAAATAACAGTAAAAAATAAACAATATCTAATACAAATTACATCTTACATATTAAAATAGATTTATATCAAATGGTGAATGGGTATTAGTTAGAAATTGAAAGAAGAGTTTTTATGCATAATGTCCCATTTATCAGAAGTTCAGTTTCATACTTAGCTGTTGAGAGTATTTTAAAGTTCAAGGGAGAAATTGGATGTCCTATTTCTGCATTAAGTTGGTAGATAGTGCAGTTGGAAAGGTTAAAAACTTTCTTCCAGTTTTGTACATTCAAATCATACCCAAAGACCATGACAAGATATATAAAAAGTAAGAGGATACATATGTGTCATACAGCACTCATAAAAATAATTTCAAATGCAGTGGCAATGATGCTCATGTAAGTCATGGTACAGATTCTAGTTGAATAACCGTACATGCCCATAAACTTTTATCTGATATTATTTTGCATTATTACAATGTTCCTAATAAAAACAAAACTAATTACACCTGGCATGGATATTGATCTCTGAGGTGGTACTTAATGTGTTAAGATTGAGAAAATTGTTTTCTCCAACGAATGCATAGGGTAGCTGCTATTTTGAAAAAGAATGCTTCATATAAAAAAATTTTTTTGTGAAGGGCCAGAAAAGAAGAGGTAAGGTTGTAGGCCCTATTCAGAAGACAAAGTATAAGACTTGTGAAATTGGGTAAAAAGGCCAATAAATGTATTTTCATGACAAACAGAAAAACCATTAGTATTATGATTAATTAAAATGTCCAGAAAGGAAAAGAGTTATTAGCCTCAGTTTGATGAGAAAATATATATATAGAAAGGTGTTGTAAATTACGATAGTCAAGAAAATGTGTGATATAACCTTTAAAGTGAAAAATAAGGAAACTATCATCTGCATACCTTGTGTAGAAAATAGGCTTGAAGTATAAAGTACAGTTGTCCATCCAGTTCTGTTCAAAGTGATGGAGAAAAAAGGAAAAGTTTGGAAAGCACTGGTCTCAGGGAAGAGCCCATAGCAATGCCATCTGTCTGTTCATTAAGTGTATTGTTAAAAAGGAGGAAAGTGTGTCTAGTTGAAAATTTATGCAAAGATTTTAAATTGTATCTTAATAGTCCATTGACAGGGGTGTTTTTTTGCAAAAAGTTTAGAAAGGACAATGTTAATAGTTACGTCCAGAGGAATATTAGTGAAAAGATAAGTAGTATCAAACTGATCATCAGATGATTTTTAAGGGGAGGGAGTTGACTAATTTTGCAAGAAAAATGAAAGATGTTAGGTATTGTAAATTCAATCATAATCAAAGGTTTCAAAATTGGTAAGTTATAACAGTGAGTGCCTAAAGTGGAGTGTTTGGTTTGTGAATTTTGGGCAAAATGTGATACAAAGCTGTGTGTGATATTCTTAATGATCACACTAAGTTTAATGTTATAAACTAAGAACAATTGTTCCATACTTCAACTCATTGTGTTTACAACAATTTATATCCTAAAGGCTCCCAATGTGGAGTATTATATGGCAGCTATCTTGAATATCTCAAACTCTTAAAGATGGCAATCTGGCACCCTCTGGATTCATGATCAGTACCCTCAAATTATGTAAAAAAACATCAAAAACGTTTCATATACACCAAAACAAGGTTCAGGTCAAAATCAGAGTTTGGAAAATGTCTTTTTTTATACACTGTTTTTGCTGTTCTTCTAAATGGGAAAGTATGTCTCCTTCTCTTATTTGTGGTAATTCCATTTTTTATGATTGGATGCACCTGAAAAAAATACATCAAAGTCTTAAAAGTAGATACAAGCACACTAGTTTAAATAACAATTATAACATCAATAATGTAATAAATATATATTATATATATATATCTTATATAAATTTTATAAAATAAAATTTTCAACTTATATATAACTTTCTACCATGAAACATTCTGCCACTACATGGTTGTTCTAAGTTTCTAATGCTCCTTACTTTTTTTACCAAAAATCTTGCCTCAAGTGACAGATTTTATAACAAAGATTATAATACAATTAAACTCTATTTAGACACAAAATATAAAAATTAAAGTAAGACTTCCTTTTCAAACCACTCAAACATTTTAGTAAATTAAAATTTCAATATTTATTAATCATTAATATTTAAATGAGTTATTATGTGTAGTGATAAAGTAAATAAATTGAAAACTTTCATTTACATTTAACATGGTACATGTGGTGAACTTTATAATCAGAGAAAATTTTCTTTGAAAAATGTGTTCAGTATATAAAGATTGTTTATGAAATATAATTTTTCAGAAAAGTCAAATTGCTTTGTTTTTTCATCAGTACAGTCTCATTTATTTCCATATTAATGTTTGATAAATGTAATTTTTATTAATACATTAAAAATTATGAAGATGTGTTCAAAAGGAAGTTTTGTAGCATTAACACATAAAGAATAATTATAATACAGCAAACATAAAATGGTAATTTTCTCTAGATATGGATATTTAACTTTGTGATGACTTTTGATAAAATCTTTATATTCTGGGTGTAATTGTGTTTACTTTTATACTTATACAAGGATATTTTGCATTCATCTTTTGGCCAATATCCTTGTAATGGAATTGATTGGCAATTTCCATAATAGTAGGCAGCAGTGTGTCTAATCATGAAATTCCATACTAATTCTGGCATACCATCTTTAAGGTTCTGACTTATGATACTCTCATAGCTTGGCAGTGGTGCTGCTTGCAAGGACGATGCCACTGACATGCTGTTTATGAAAATATAAGAAGGTATTTTATTACTTCTGGTTATATAAGTTCACACCACAAATACCAAATCATTTTAATGTTAACTCAGTAGTACAGCTGGGTAATTAACTCAATTAATTGATTACTATGAGCATCAATTACATTGATTAGTGTCATGTAAAGTGATCAATTAATCTAAATTATGATTCAATAAATTCATGCCAAGAACATACTCAACTAATCAAAACTACTATTTTCAATTATTCCAACTATACGAGTCTTGTGTGAGAGTAATCAATTAGTTGAATGTAATAATTTAATAAGCCTTATGACTAATTGGTTATTAAATTCCACTAATCATCTAGCTGTACAAGTCAGTAATCACAGCAGCATTGGACTATTTTATCACATAAGTTTCATCATTTTGTCACCTTCTGATCCACTCTGTTATATAATATGATACAACATGTCTAACAAAGCAAAATTTTATTTTATGTATTTTGTAGGAAAATTATACTACATTGTGGACTCACATTTGAAAAAAGTAAGTTTACTTTCTTGCTAAGTTAGGTGCATGATTAAGCTTCCTATTTAAAAATTTGAAGAACCTGAAAATATTGTATAGAATCAGACTAAACTAACTCAATTCCAACTTAATACAATATTTAACAGAATGTGTAAATTTGAAAATGGATCGTGTAATATATTTTCAACTTCATATCTACTAACAATAGCATCTAAATCACAGATCTCAGAATAACTTTCATTATCTGTGTTACAGTATGTATCGGACTGGTCTAAGATGACTCCTGCTGCATCACTGTCATTTTCATCTTACATGTGAAATCTTTCAAAGGATTCACTTGAACTGTTCCAGGATAGTTATTCATACTGTTTGCATATGTTACCATCAGTCTATGTCTTTGCATTGTGTTATTAAGATTAGTTTGCTTATATTTATGTCATCTATCTTGCATTTCCCATGAGTAACAATATTCTGGCCTAGTTCTATAACACTTGGTTTTGTTTTTTTCATGATCTCATAGTTAAAAATAGCAAAACTATTTTTATGTTTGTTTTATAGTTTCTAAATTGATTAGAACTGGTAAATTCTAATTAGGTTCTTCCCTGGAAATCAAGCAGGGTACACTGTTTTTTGTGTATCTAAGAATTGAATGCAGTGTGCTAAGGCAGGTGGGCATTATTGCAAGCCTTAAATGCATGTGAGTGTACAACCATGATTTTTCAAAATTGGCTGTAGTTATAACTAAAGATTTCCTTATTCACTAGTTTCATGCACTTTTTCTGTACTGATGGTTCTTGATCCAGACACATGAGATACTCTCCTTTTTGAAGTTTCTATAAATATACAGGAATTTCTATAGATATATATATGTACATTATGGAGGTCCTTATTTGCAGGAAAAATTTCAGGTTAAAGTTTTTAAAAATTTCACCCCTTAATTTTATTCTAACATACAAAAAAATATTAAATGTCAAACGTAATCCATTTTGGATCATATCTAGACATTGCTGAATAAGATTGAAGTTTTACACTGCAATGACCTGGTACTGTATGTACTATGTGATGAAAACATATCTGATATGTATTATAAATGTTTTATTTAAAGTATATTACTATTTTATTGCACTCCACAGTAGTATAATTACATAATTGTATGGTATTTATTTAATTTTATATGGTTAGTCACTTTTGCATTTTTGTTGTTTCCTATTTGCTGTTAGGAAAGCATCATTATGATCCTGCACACCTTGAAAGAAGAATTGTTTCTGTTCTTTCTTTGCTATGATGATATTATACTCCTAAATAAGGTCCACACCCCTTTCAGCATTGTCATTTATCACATTCAAATGTTGAACTGAATGTAGCACCTCCCTGAACTCTCATGACTCAGAATCATAATCCAGGTGGAATTTTGAGTCACCAGAAGAAGTCTGTTATATTCTTTGTGATGACATCTTCAATTGACATGTCTTCACACTTCTTAATATTCAGCTGGATGCACTTTGGAGGTTCATCCATATACCTTCCTTCTCACTTAATGCCTCTACCATTGCTCATTTTGTCTGTATGGTTACAGCAGAATCAAAGAATGCCAAATCAACCAGTTCCTCATTGAGATATCATAGATGTCGAAGAAAATTTTGACATGCAGATTTTGAAATAGTAAGATTCATCCTCTTCTACTTAACAAGACATTATAGGATGTTAAGATCATTGTAAGGAGCAAAAATGGCATCAGGAGCAGTGAATCATACCCTAAGTTAGATTCAAACAACAAAGATCCAGTTGTCACAAAGTCCTCTTTCCTTGTGACCAGTGAGCTTAATCTGGCCCATAAACATCCAGGTCATGAGGGCATATAATGCCTTGACCATCCATTGTGCATGATGCAGTGCTCCAGGTGCTATAAGTCATACTCCATGAGGATGGATGCCACCAAGAAAGGTTATGGCTAGTTCAAGAAGCTCTCAATAATCATTTCTAGGTTGGTTAACCTGAAGTTGTTTTTTAAAAAATTAAATGACACGGTCCTTAACTTCCTCTATGGCTTTTGCTACTTCATCACAGTCAACTGCAGTTTCATAGCTGGAGTGGTCCAAGCATTCCCAAGATTGCTGGAATCAATTGTAAACTGCAACATCTGGACCAGAGGAAAACTCCATACAGTCTTTGAAAACACATGCCAAAAAAGGTTATAAAATATGATGCTGACAGGCCAAATACAGAAGATTCATGTTTAATCTTTGTTCTAACAGCACATGTGCTCCATTTCTATGAACAATGTTGCTTACTGTTGTGTCAAAGCAAACTGCCTTTACACGATCCAATCTTCCAGCACATGTGCCACAGCAGAAGATTGAGTCTCTCCAATGTTGGGAAACCAGCTTTGGAAAACTTAGTAATTGGTTTACTCCTGCTCCAGACAAGACCACTGCATACTATCCACATGCTCTTTCCCTGTAAGAACATTAAAAAGCTTGCTATCGAAGTGAGACTGTTGACTGGAACTGTTCTTTTAAGTTTTTGATAAGTTTTCACAGAAGCAATGTAGAGGTCTTCAGATCGAGGAATGGTTGATGGCTAGCTTTTGCACATCATGACCAAGGCTGTGAACTGTAGCAGTAGGGACAAATGTTGCCTTTCTGTCACTCAGCTTTTTTCTGTCCATAGCTGCTGCTAAATCAGGAGTGATAATGTTTCTTCTTGCTCTCTTTTTAGGTTTAGAAGATGATGGTTCAAATCTTCAATACTTCAAAAACAATTAAGGAATCTATATACAACTGTGATACTGTTTCAAATATGAAGTGAATTTATTTTAGTTTGTGATATCATATTTGTTTCTTTCATACTAAATCTAGTTATTTAACAGTTTTGTACGAAAAAAAAAAATTCTTAGAGAATACTTACATTCATATTTTACTGAAGATATGCCTAGCTCTATATATCTTAATGAAAAAGTGTTGTAAATGCCCACTTGGTACCTTATTCATAAGCACAAGCTAATCATTTATGTGAGTAACATTTTGATTTTTTGCAGTTGTATGTCCATCAGTTGTCACTGACAGAGATATACAATATATTGTTACGACAGCGAGGGTCATGTGACTCTAGTAACACGTCATATTCTCAAAGGTTCGTGAATGCTCGAGCGTTTACTAGATTT